GGAGTGAGTTGCACTGAGCCATTTGTACTACTTTATAATTTAACCGTTCATTTCTTGTATCATACATCTATCTGTATATAATTTAACAGTTCATTTCTTGTGTTATATATCTAATTATCTTTATAAATAAATATATTAAATTACCAGCAATTTGGTTTTATCTCTCTAGAGAACCCTAACACATACTAATACAAGCCTTAAATTATTTAGTGCTGAGGAGCAGGCTGTATCAGGATCAGTAACAGCCACCCCTCCACTGCAATCTTTTACACTTGACACGTAAGCATTATTAATAGTAATGTCTGTGAATATGGCTGCTGAAGTTTGAATCCTGCTCCATTATATACTAGTTGAATGGCTTGCGCATAATAATATCTACCCCATAAAGATGTTGTATTACCTGAGATAACAGAAAATAAAAAGCACAGGAATATCAGCCACTGTGATTATCAGTAGTAGCAGTAGTGATAGTGAAGGAAAAGTGGAGTTAGACGCTTGCCCCATTGTCTTTGATGTTAAGAACAAAACTGTCCACAAAAAAGGGGGAAAAGGCAAAATGGAACAGAGCACCACAGACCTTGTGGGACTGAAATAATCTTTAGGTTACAGTGAAAACCAACTTTTAGAAGCGAAAAGACCACAAGACCACAGCACTCAGAAACACAGGGGAGGAGTAGAAAAAGAGGTATGACAATCAAAACCTAGTCGACTCAGAAGAAAAGGCAAAAAGCAGACCAAGGGTTCCTTTCTAGTTAGTCGGATAGAGTCACAGTTTCCACTCTTACAGGCCCAGGATCCACTTCCTATTTTTAAGGTTTCTAAAGACTAGAAATTAAACCAAGAAAATTTTACTGCCCTCAAGTCGATGTCGACTCATATAGACCCTATAGGGCAAGGTGGATAGGTTTCCAAGACTAACTTTATGGGAGTAGAAAGCCCTGACCTCCCAAAGAGTGGGTGGTAGTTTTAAACTGACCATGCAGTTGGCAGCCCAACTTGTAACCACCATACATTTTTTTAGTTTTGTTTGTTTCCATGTATGTGGTTTACTTTATTTTTAAACATTTGACTCTTGTTTGAGTATAGAAAGTCAGGTTCAGAAGAGGATGTGGAATGAGGGTTATCATTGCTAATGTCAGAAATATTTTGGCTAGAAGGAGAATGCAAGCAGTTTATGTTTGTTTTTTGTTTGTTTCACTATGTGAACACATTCATCTTTGTGGTTCATAACAAATTATGGATAATGTTGCAAAAATGAGAATTCCAGAACACTTCATTGTGCTCAATCAGAACTTGATATAGATCATGAGGCAGTCATTCAAACAAAACAAATGGATATTGCTTGTTTTAAAATCAGGAAAGGTGTGTGACAGTCTTGTATCCTTCACCATACTTATCCATTCTATATATATCAAAGACTATATACAGCATTCAGTATGAAATAGACCCTAACATCAAGAAAACAAAAATCTTCATAACTTGTTCAATACTGAAGTTGTCCAAGTGTTTCATTTTATCTGGGCTCACAACCAATGACCATGGAAGCAGCAGTCAGGAAATCAAAGGGTATATTGCTTAGGCAAATCTACAAAAGACCTCTCATGTATTAAAAAGCAATGGTGTCACTTTGAGTGCCAAGATGCACCTAAGTCAACTGGTTTCTATACATACAAAAGCTGGGCAATGAGTAAGGAAGTCAGAAGAACGAACAAATCTGTGTCAGTAGTAGTACAACCAGAATGCTTCTTAGAAGGTTGGTAGGATGGCAAGACTTTGTCTTATGTACTTTGAGCATTGAGAACATCATGCTTGATAAAGCAGTGGTTCAGCAAAAAAGATGACTCTCAACAAGATGGGTTGACTTAGTGGCTGTTCCAACATAGGAGTAATTGTGACAATCACACAGGGCTGCGAAGTGTTTCGTTAGGTTGTGTTTTGTTATGTTGTACATAAGGTTGCTGTAAGTATCCCTGGTGGCATATTGGTTATGTGTTGAGCTGCTAACTGCAAGACCAGCAGTTTGAAAGCATCAGCTGCTTCACAGGAGAACGATGGGGCTTTCTACTCCCATGAAGTTAGTCTTGGAAGATTAACAGGGTAGTTCTACCCTGTTCTATAAGGTGACTATGGGTGAGCATCAACTCACTGGCTGTAAGAAGGTTGCTGTAAGTAGGAATCATAACAACATATAAACATGGAATTGATTTGTAATGTTCTATTAAGTGTCTTCAATAGGGTCCAGGAGCAGGAGCATTTCTATCCACATAGGATAAGATCTATTATAAAAGTTGTGATTATATTCCAATACAGAGTAACAACATATCAAAAACATCTAATAACTCAAAAACTTTTTAAAAGTATGTCTTAACAGTATCTCATTCTTTCCAAATGCTCTTCTCTCCAACTGAAATTTTAATTTACACGATAATGTAATAAAAGCCAGCATAAGAGTATACTCTCCTAAAAGACAAGTTTCCTTGATTCCAGATGAAGTTCTGTTAATTTAGCTATCTCACCGAGTCTGAAGATTTTAATCTATTCCATAAAAAAAGAATACTGCATGGAGCTATTTTTAACAATCCTCTTTTCCATTAAGAGACTACTTTTTAAAGGATAATTTTAAAATTCAAAAGTGTAAATTAGAAAAAGATGCTTATAGCTCATGCCTATTTCAGAATAGAGTTCACAAATGTAATTTCCCTTAAGAATTCCAGTTCAACGAATAGAATGTCAAAGTAATATGTAATTTTTGTTTGTTATGTATGTGATAAGGAAGGAGAAGGAAAGCAGAAGCTGTTTCAATCTTTTATAACTATTATACATGTACTGTCTAATAGTACTTAAAATGTTCTCACATCACACTGGTCAGATTGAGATTTGTATATTTCTACCAACAACTTTAAATAGTTTTTAATATTTAAAATAATCAATACCTCAACTTACATAATTTGTTTCATTATAAAGTACGTACCTAACCATCTATTCTGTCAATTAATGGTGCAAATAGTATTTGTTAATGTCTATTTCTTAGAGCCTTGTACAACAAATTTTAAAAGGGCTAAAAACATTTTCATGCAATGTTTTAAATAACAAAGTCCAAAGTCTGCTAACCAATTTTCTTTTTGTTCCCCATTTTACCATTTCAATGTTTGCACTGTGAACACTTACCAGATACAGTACATATCTCCATTCTGGAGCTGTGGAATAAGAAAGGATTCACATAGTTGCAAGGCTAACATAGTCTTGCCTTCCTTTTCAGTATTACAGATGATATCGATTCTACTCTTACAATCAGTTGCCAACAAATGCTACAAGAGAAAAGGAAAAATTTATCATTAAACATTGAGAATTTACTTAGAAATCTAGTTTTCTATAAAATATTTCCATGATTTGTTTTTTTGTACAGCTATTGTTTATAATGACTCCCTTTACTATCATTTAACACCCATAGCATGTAAGGTCCATTTTAAGAAAACAAAAATCATCTTAAAAAAAACAAAATAACATGAGAATTTAATTTTTTAGTATGTAATTTAAAAGCAAAATCATAACACCTCCCAGTTTTTAGCTGATGTATATTAAGTATACATTATTATTTTCATCATCTGTTAATATCATAGTACAACTAATTCAACAAGAACATATAAAATGATGTCAAAAGAGGACATCTACATGATGTAATCTGAACGCCTATACAGTACTATAAAAAATGGATTTAACAGCAAGAATAACTTTTTTTTTAATGTAGGGTTAAAATAGTAACCGGAAAAAAATAGTGTCAAACAATACCTCCCGGAATACCTGATCTTCTACAGGTGACATAAACAGACACGTGAAGAGTGCTTGATGGAAGTACAAGTCTTTACTGATTTCTGGATGATTTATGCAAGATTTAATAAGAGCCATTGCTTCTGGTATGCGTTCACAAGCAATTAGGTATCTGGTACGCAGCTCAAAGAACAGTGGATTTTCAGAGCTTAAGTATTTGTTCACTATATTAAAAGAAAACATAATATTACTTTCAAGATCTTCTCACGCTTTATTATATAAAATTTTACCACTGAACTATAGTATTTCATGATTAGCTAAGTTTTTAATGAATAACAGTTTTATTAGTAGGAATTTATTTTTGAAAACAATATTCCACTATATGATTCGAAAAACAAAAAGAAAAGCTACACCAAAATAGTACAAGAATATATTATTTCATAATCTGAAAAATACATATAAAACTCAACTTTTTCTACTTCAGTTCACTAATATATCAAAATATACTTCAAATGGAATTTCTTGCAAACCCAAGATTCATGCTTTATCAATTTATTAATTACTATAAAATGAAGGGTGAATCCAAATCTGTCATATTAAAACCACATTAATTCAGATGAGTTATAGAAAATGATATGAATTAATTAGAAAGTTGAATAAGTATCTTTCTTTTTTAAAAAGTCAAAAATATTCGGATAGGATTACTTATTTTTATATCATTTAAAAATATACAAATACCTTTATCTAATGTAGGTTTATTTGGATATAACAACAACATTATGATAGATATTTATAATACTTGTTTCACAATTCGCAAAACTGACTCTCAGATCAAATGACTTGCCTGAGGATGCAAAACTAAGTAAGTGGAAAAATAGAAAGGATATATATCCTAATTATTTTTTTTAATCTGAAAATATTATTACTTGAGTGTGTTTAATCAGAAGCTTCTAAAATCCTTGAATTTCTTTTTAATGCCTCGTGAATCTATTTATAAACATTGATAAGCAAACACTGATTTGTAGAGTCATTACAAAAATAAAAACCTTCAGTCTGATTTTACCTTCCTCATTACCAACTTGAGGAGTTTCATTCATATTAACCAGGCTCTAGAGCAGCTTTTTCCATGTGATTTCCTAATAGGCCATCAGCCTGCAGGCAACTCATGCTAACAAGTTTGCTTCTACTTAACCAACCAGCCCACTGCCTTAATTCAAGCCCATTGTAACCCTTAATTCTACCCTAAGGGCAGAGTAAAACTCTTTAGATTATAAATCTACTGGAGAAGATAGCCTCTTCTTTCTCCCATGAAGTGGCTGATGGGCTTGAACTACTGTCCTTGCATGGTTAACTCAATATGTAACATACTATAATACCAGGGCTTCTCCCTTAGAGAAGCCTAAAAGCTCCCCTAGTAGTTCCTGTGTCATCAATCATTTTGAAGTTCTTTGTATAGGTCTCAATGCCTCTTTAAATTCTTTGTATAGCTTCTATTGCCACATCCCTCAATCTCAGCTTCCCCCAGTCTGTCACCTTTGCCACCTTTATCGTTGGTTCTTCATACTTTCCCTCAATAACTTACCTCTTCCTCCTCAGTTCTACCTACCCATCTCTTCAAGTAGTTATCCCTTTGAAAGACCCACAATTGATCACAAGCCTCTTGTTTTTCTTGGTTTTCTCTAAACTAGTGCCAAATATATTTCAACCTTCTCCTAGTCATGTCCTACTTCTATCCCATAGTCCAGTTCACCTCTTTGCTGTGCCACTTGTGATCTCATTTCTTTCTTCATCTTCTTTTGCATTTCCATCAGTCCTGCACACTTGTATCTGGGGCCTAATTCTTAAGCCCAGATTCATGTTCCTTTTTATTTATGTCTACTCCCAACTCACTCTTTAGCCTAAGACAAATGTTAAAATCCTGACCTGCCCACAGTTGAGTCTCTCCCACCAGACCATATCTGACTGGTTCCTGGGCTTGTGGTCTTGTCTTTTCCTTGGCTGACTCATGACTGCACTCCATAGGTCCTCTCCATACTTCTGTGCTACTTCACTATTTCTGTGCTCACCTTCAAGTTTTGGTGAGACAAAATGTTCTGAGGCTCCTCATTTATTTTTAAATAAATCAAACTAATTAGAAGCAGTTGACAGAGTGTAGTGTCTAAAAACGAAATTTTGGCCCACTGAGGAAAACTATGGATCTGGGGTTATATGACAAAGGTGATGTCAAAGAAATATGCAGATGATATGACATGCAGGCAAAAACTTGACTTCTATTAATAAATAAAATTTAGGAAACACTGCAATAGAATATTTAGAAATGGAATTTTTAAAATTCATTTACTTGTGCAATCAACATGTGGTCATTCATTCATCCAACAATCATTCAACAAATACATATATTGAGCGCCTACTCTACCAGGCATTGAACTAGGCATAGGGCAAGCAGTAGTCGCCAAAATGGAAAGTGCTCTAGCCTTCAGGGGATTTCCCTTCCCAGGTAGGAAGCATTCCATGTGCTTTCATAAAAAAATTTTTTAAGTGCTCCTACTTAAAACAGATTGAAAATTATAAATGAATTGACAAAAAGCAGTCCTTGTAAATAAATGATAGTAACATTCAGAATTCTCATTATCTAGAAATATATATCCCTAGTCTGGTGACAAAAATTACTCTTGGGCCTGATAAATATAATGGATTAAGTAAACTTCATGTAAATATACAGTACTCTGTTATTCAATATTAAAATAAGACAAACTGCTCTAGTTAGAAATGAATTGTGTTTGCTTCTCACAAATGCTGGATTTAATTTCAATGTCCTGAAGTACCTATCTCCTGAGATGCTGGCTGGGCTTTAAGAACAGCTTGCAACACTGGATCTTCCCATGGGCCACCATCTCTAATGATTCGAGTCACCAGTTCCAGATTCACATTTCCATATCTGCGGAGGTGATTCTGGCATTCCTAGGAGAGAAAAATCATTTTGGCTTTGTGAATTTAAAGGGTTTAAAAGCTAAACTATGATCATCACTGTCAATAAAATGACTGATGGTCAATGAGGCAGCTATTAAATTATAACAGAGAAAGGGTTACAATAGTAACCTAAGTGGGGTATCAAACCCCATTAATACACAAATAGGCTTTAATGCCAAAGGTTACACAGTATGTGCAAAATCGGACTCTTTAGACAATCCCATTATAATAGAGATAATGTGTAACCTAAAAGAATAACTTTAAGGGATGCATCAATTTTAGGAAAGAGCCAGGTTGCAAAACACTGAAACTCTAAATGTTCAATTAAATTTATATGAGGGCTTAGAAAGCTCCTATTAACACAGGCAAGCAAGAGCCTGACAATGAGAAGGGACTATGCAGACTCCAGTCTTGAAAGGTAGACACTGGTGCCCTGCCCTAATCGCAAATGTTTAACTGTACTTGTGGGAGAAGGTTCAAGAAAGGAATTCTAGTCCTCTTGACTAAGTAAGTAAATTTGTATTATTAGGAGGAGGAAATGAAAGATTGAGGAAATGAACCTAATCTATGATATGAACGCTTGGCATTACGTTTAGATGATGTTGATAAGTCAGAACTATTTTGTTTTTTTTTAACATTTGAATTTTTAAAAAGGGTATTTGCTTTTATAGACTTGATTATATTGTGATATAGTTAGCAGAAGTTATGTTTGTAAACACTTTATTATTTAAGAGAATTTGGCTTACTGAATTTATACTACTTATTAGATTTAGATTTACAAAAGTTTGTAGATTTTGCTTTTTTGGCTTGTTATATTCTTTGTTAGCTGTTGACTCTTAAAATGTTTCATGTATAAAAATATTGCATTATATTATAACGAAAGGCTTTGTGGAGATATGAGAAGATTTACAAGAAACAAAGAATATAAGTTTATCTTAAAACCTTAAGAAAAAAAGTACAAATTTAAAGATGGCAATATTAAAAAATTAAAATTATATGAATTAAAACACAAGAGTTTATTTCTGTGATTAAAAACCCCTCAAATATTAAAATTTTAGCAAGCAATTAAAAGTCAAATATATAGTAACTTAAAATATTACTTACTAAACTTATTATCAAGCTACATATTTAAAGTAGCAATTAACATCTCAACTTTCATTAAATTGCCTTATTCTTCTATCTTTTGAATATTTCCATTTAGAATAAAAAATAATTCCACATGACATTTTGCATTCCTTGTTAGACTACATATTAAACTGTAAAAGTTTGTTTTCATTGGTTCTAATAAGAAAATAAGGCAAAGATATAATCAAGTTTAAAATAAAAAATCAGTGCCAACAAAACTGTTGGGGGGAAAAATAAGTACCAATAAAATAAAATAAAGAATCCTTACAAATAACTCACTACAAAAACCTCATAAAAAGAAATATCTTCTGCAAGTTATTTCAGGAGATCCTCAATTCAAGCAAGCAAGCAATAGCTCTATAAACAATGGGTAAGTTATTTAACTTCTCTGTGCTGGTTAAGTTAATTAACTCTTTTTCCTTTCAGAATCCACTGAGAAGTGAGATACAAAAAAAAAAAACACCCCCAAACACCTACTTGTTGTAAGGATTAAATTACATACAGTATTTAAAAGTGCTTGGAACAGTGCCTGCCATATAGTAAGCACTCAATAAATTTTAGCCATTATGTCTTCTATTATTTCTTATCCTTTAAAATTAACATTTATTTTAGGACACTCAATTGCCTTAGCATGAAATTAACTTCTGTATTTTCACATGCCAGCATATTTTTTAATATTCATAAGGAATAAGATAATTACTTTTTAATCAGCAATTATTTTAAACATACATGAAACATGACAATAGCTTCTTGCTTGAAAATAACTACCAATATCAATCCTTAAGGTAAACAAAATCTTAAATTATTCTTATACATTGCATCCTCTAAAACTAAAATAATGTAAAGTGGGTGTTGATCAAATCTAAGTACAGGAAAAAAGTGATCTGGATGCTATTCAATGAATCACTAGTAGGCTTAGCTTTGTTACTAAATCCTGCAATAGTTTACCAAGCTAGCTGTTAAAACCTAAGTAGGTAAGGCATCAAACATATACAGTGAGACTTGGGACCATATTTAAGCCTCAGTAAAGGTATACTGAAGTAGGTCCATTTCCTGCTTCCGAAACTTGGCTGAAGAAACAGCTCTGAGCTCTTGCTAAAAACAAATAAACAAGCAAATAAACAGATTCTGAGTCCCAGTTCAGACCTACTCAATCAAAATTTCTAGGGCAAAGCACCTTAGCCAGTAACTTTTAGAAACTTCTTTGTACTTCCATATTTAGTGCAAATTTCTTATAAGGCTTTATTTTGTAATTTACATTAATCTTTTCCTATCATTCAATTAGAAAATTAATATCAGCTTATTATCATTTTTAAGATAAAAATTAATTTTAAATGTCAGTGCTACTTTGGGGTACATTTCTTGGTTCAGGTACACATTTTTTGGAGACCACTACTATGGAAAATAGTCCTGGGCAGAAAGTACAGATGATAAAAGTATTTCATCATTCTGGTCTCTAAAAAGACAGGGTGAAAGAGAATAAAGTTTGAAAGTATGTTTTGCTTCCATCTTTCTTAAATAGCATGGTGGCTTTTGGGATGCAACTCATCCAAGGTAATTAAAGAACCATTTAAATCACTTTGGACTTCTCAATTTATTTCCCTTAGTGTAGATAGGCATTGCAGCATTTCAGAATATTTACTTAAACAATGTTTAAAATTGGATTTTCATATTAACTTAAATCATGTAAGTCATCTATCATGTATACTCACAGATGACCGATGATCTCAACACACTGTGCCAAATATAATCCCAACAGACACTTTCATCCAACCTTGTGTCTCTGCCAAGGTCTAAGTAAAATTAAATATCATTCCCCACTATTCTTTCAGAATCCTTTGTGGATTAAGTTTAATGTTATGCTCAGAAGAATGGCTTCTCTTCCCTGAAATGTCACTATAGAGTTGGCCATTATAACATGTCTGATAGGCTGTTGATCAATGTTCTGGCAATTCCATATCAAGTTACCCTATGATAAACTTCAGCAGCTGATTATCACTAAAGTTTCAATGCCTCCACCTACTGTTTTATGACTTTATAATCATTCCTTATCCAACTTTTCCAACCTCATTCACCTGTTGCACTCATGAATCCTCTTCTCTAGGCTGTTTTCCTCCATATCATCCAAAACTAACTCAAACTCTCTGCCATCAAGTCAGTGCTGACTCAGACTGACCCTGTAGGGCAGAGTAGAACTGCCCCTTCCAAGACTACAACTCTGGACAAGAATAGAAGCCCCTTCTTTCTACCAAGGAGAGGCTGGTGATTTCAAACTGCTGACCTTATGGTTAGTAGCCAGATGAGTAACTGCTATGTCACTATGCCTTTCCTCATATCATTGACTTTCTCCTAGAACTTCCTGTAAGCATATCTGAATCCTATCTTTCCAATCTTACTTCCCCTAAGAAATCTCACTGACCACCTCAATCCATAATAAACTTAAATCCTCTCCTATATTGAATATCTGTACCAACTCACTCTTCTACATATAACGAGTTTTGCATTATTTGTTGTCTTAAATGTTGACATCTTCTTTAGTTGAAAATTTGCTCAAAGATAAACAAAGGAAAGACTTAATAAAGATAAATTCTTATTAAAAAACTTTATGCAAAATATAGTTTTTATAGAAACCTGTGTAAAGGTTTATAGAAAGTAGTATAGAATACCTGACTTATTTTTAATGAAATGTGTACACAAAAGATATGTAGATCACCACATATAAAACTAATTCATAAGCAAACTGTTACAAGTGAAAGCAAAAATGTACATTTTAAAACATCAAGATCTTTATAGTAATAGTTCCAAAATTATGAAATATTTGAGTTCTGATGAAACACACATACAACTACCCATTGGGTTTTTTTGGTTTGTTTGTTTTTAAAATACCGTATATTCTCGAGTAGTAGCTGATCCGAATATAAGCTGAGGCACCTAATTTTACCACAAAAAACTGGGAAAATTTATTGACTTGAGTATAAGCCTAGGGTGGGAAATGCAGCAGCTATTGGTAAATTTCAAAATAAAAACAGATACCAATAAAATTACACTGAGGCATCAGTAGGTTAAATGTTTTTGAATATTTATTTCAAATTAAAACAGTAAACTAACTCTGTAAGAGGAAAAGAGAGCCAACAAAAACAATATGGTATCATCAATAACTATACTCACTGCCTTACCACATGTACACATCGCAGTTTGTATAGTTTGAGGCCTAACGCAGGCTGATGATTTCCAGAATGTGATGACATTACTGCTTGCATAGCTGTGTTAGGGCTCATAATATACAAGCTGCATTGTGTACGCACTGTTGTTACTGCATGCACTGCGTTACTGCATACGCAGTGTTACCACATCTGCATGGGAAGTGCTAATGCAACACATGCAGTGACACAGTGCGTACACAACGCAGTGTGTACATTATGAACCCTAACACAGGCTGCTCTATGCAAGCATAGTCAACACTGAGTCCAGATAGGGGTTAATAAGAAAATAAAAAATAAAATATAGCAGACTAAGTACTGTAAATAAATGTACTGTATATTCAAAACCAGAGATATACTGTACCGGTACTTGTATTCAGCAATGCTTGGGCGGAGCGAGGGGGCATGACCAAGCACGGGTAAGATTGTAAAGGCTACATCATTGGTCACAACCCTGGAGACTCCTGGGAGAAGAAGAGCAGCCTCATCTGACAATCATCTGACAAGGATGCAGTGAGCCCCAGGTACCACAGCACGGACAACACAAGAGAAACACAGCCGTCGTGCAGGAGAAAAGAGTGGTGATATCAGCAGACATCGGACTACCAACAGAGGCCGCAAGCACCCGTGGATGAGCGCAGGCACCCATGGATGAGCGGGAGAGAC